TTATACTAATAGCTTTAAAATTGAATGTTTGGTGAAAATAGCTACGCGACTTTAATGCATCAAATATTTTGTTAATAAAAAATCAACATATTGAAATTAGACAGCAAAAAATTATAATATTAAAGATTAATTTATAAATTATTATAGTCTAATTTTAACTACTTCATGAAATAAATATTACACGCCATAAACTGCAGTAATTGAAAAATTATAAAGGTCTTACAGAAGAGTTTCTTAAACTGTTAGACGATTACGCTACTCGATGTTCATATTAATAGGTTCCAAAATGTACCACCTATAAAATTTAAAAATCTACTACTAATACAATTATTGGCAACATCGCAGGAGTTAAGAAGTGTACGGGAAAAGTTATATACGGATCCCAAAAATGTTTGATCCTATTACGGAGTCCACTTGATCCGACGTATTAGTCGGAGTCTATATAAAGCGCTACTCAGATAATAATATACACGGCGTATATTCTCCTGGAGTTAGTATAATACCCTTTTAGTACGGAGCCCATATTAACCGCTAGAAGTATATATATATATATATATATATATATATATATAAGTTATTCAAATGTAGGTTTTTTTATTTGTACCTGGTGGTAACTATCAAGACTTCAGACTTAATCACATTTAATTTAAGTTTAACTAGAGACATTATTGTAAGTAAGGGTTTTAAGCAAGGCTGCTGCATAGCATCTACACTTTTCAAAATATATTTGAATGAGGAGTACACCAAGTGGGGCCTTACAATTAATATAGAGAAAACCAAGTATTTATTTACAGGAGAAAAATCAGAAAGCCTGCAAATTGAAATGGAAACTATGGAATTAACTGAAACCTTTAAATACTTGGGAGTCCAAATAACATCAAAAGCAGGGAGTAACGAAGAAATACATTTTAGGATTGGCCAAGCAAGATCAGCCATTAGACAGCTACACGGACTACTGTGGAATAATAAAATGACAAAAGAAAATAAAAGAAGGATTTATAAAACAATAATAGAAGGTATTGGGTTGTACGGCGACGAATTTTGGGAAGTCAATCAAATAACAAATCGAAAAGTAAGGTAGTGGAAATATACAATTGGAGACGATGTTGTCGGCATACTAGACTTAATCGGGCGAAGACCATAGAAATTAGGAAAAAATTTAAACCTAGACATTATAGATAAACTGGTATTTTTTCACCTGCAGAGAATGCCTGCAGGTGTCCATACCAGTTGGCCAAAAAAGATAGAAAAATTGACTTCGCCCACTAGAAAAAAACGAGATAGATCAAGACGGTCATGGAGAGAAGATGTTGAAGATGCAATGGCCGCTAAAGATTTAAAAACTGAAGATTGTTTCGACAGAAAACGCTGGAAATTAGAATACGAGAAACGGCATCAGCTGTAGAAGACTCGCCTATTATATTATCTGTTTATGTTTATTTGATTTAAAATACTCATTAATTGTTCCAATTATCACATTCATTCTACTAATAGCAACATTTATATCACTATCATAACAAGCTAACAAAGTATCATCTGCAAACAGATTCACAAAGTAACAATAATTAATGTATCACTTTCTTCACCCTACTTAAAACGTCTCTTTTATACCAAGGTATTCTATTCGCAATGCGGAAATTCGAAAGAGTGACACATAGTGTCATTTATCTATCTATCTATACAGCCCTTAACATCCATCCTTGGATATAGGCCTCCTCCTCCTTCTTCCATGCCTCTCTATCTTGGACAATTTGCATCCATTTTGACCCGGCGTGTTTCTTCAGGTCATCTGACCATCGCATTTGTGGCCTTCCCCTTTTACGTTTGTGATTCCATGGTCTCCAATGTATAATTGTTTTAGTCCATCTTTCATCTTTCTGCCTTAGGGTGTGTCCGGCGAACTTCCATTTAAGCTTTGCTACTTGGGTTGAGACATCTTTCACTTTTGTTTTATTATAGATCCATTCGTTTCTTTTTTTGTCTGATAGTTTAATATTCAGCATTTGTCTTTCCATGGATCTTTCTGTCTTTGCTATTTTTTTCATATTTTCCTTTGTAAACGTCCATGTCTGAGAGCCATATGTGAGGACAGGGAGTATACATTGATTGAAGACTCTCGTTTTTAAGTATTGGGGGTATTTTAAATTCTTTAGAATGTAAGACAGTTTGCCGAATGATGCCCAGGCCAATCTTATTCTTCTCTTTATTTCTTCGGTCTGATTTTCTTTATTTAATTTAGTGATTTGGCCTAGATATATATACTCTTTTACTTGTTCTATTTTTGTTTGTTCCAGTGTAATTATAAGTTCTTCTGGTTGATTAGTCATGGTTTTTGTTTTACTATAATTCATCTTGAGTCCAATTTTTGTCGATTCTCTATCTAGTTCTTCCATCATTCTTTGTAATTCTTCACTTTTTTCTGTTATTAATACAATATCATCAGCATATCGTAAATGATTCAGATTTTGCCCGTTTATATTAATTCCCAAGTCATCCCAGTGTAGTCGTTTAAAAACATCTTCTAGCGCTTGGTTAAATAACTTGGGCGAGATGGTATCTCCTTGTCTTACTTCTCGGTTTATTTTAATAGGCTCCGTTTGTTTCATTAGCTTAATAGTTGTTGTTGCCTTGTTGTATATATTTGTAATTAAGTCGGTATATCGGTAGTCTAATCTGCTGTTTTGTAGGGAATTCTGTACTGCCCAGTGTTCCACACTATCAAATGCCTTCTCAAAGTCAATAAATGTCATGTATAGCGGGATATGATATTCGTTAGTTTTTTCGATTAAAATCTTCATCGTTAAAAGGTGGTCACTTGTACTGAAGCTCTTTCTAAATCCGGCTTGTTCTCTTGCCTGGTAGCCATCTAATTTAGTGTCCTAGTGTCATAGATCAGCAAAATTATTAGCATTTTAGTATAATGCTCGTATGTAAACTTAAATTAAAATTGAACTAAACTTGTTATATATATATATATATATATATATATATATATATATATATATATATTTATTTATATTATATTTATATTATATTTATTAATATTGATATAATTTAATTTATATCAATATTTAACTTTTAAAGAATCTTCTGCCAGCTTAAATCATCCCGATAGTACGCCACTGCGTATCGCCATTTAAATGAAGTCTCTCCACTATTGGCAAGTGCAAAACTAAATAAAAATCTACATAGACATCGAAAATCAAGCATCAATAAAAAATATTACTTTGTATCTTATAGCCCAAAACGCATATTGAAGTTTAGTTAATTTTTTTATAGCCAAAGAACAAAAAAGATTTAAAACACACATTTATTTTTGTATTTGTAGCTAATATTGATTTAAAGCTATGTGTCCTCTGCTTCAATTATTTTGATGCGTGTATACTTATTGTGATCTGAACAACTTCAAGTTTTTACTATTAATAATAATTGAAAACCTTTCAATTTTTCAAAATGCTGAATAGATCTAGACCTTTACATCCTCGTTCTACATTGCTAAACAATTCAGGTATTCTTAAAAAAAAACACATATCCTGTTATATGCTTCTTCTTCAAACCACAAAATTCAACCTCGTTAAAGCGACTATTTCCTACTTTTTATCAATAAATTATAAAGATAGCAGAGCGGACGTCAACGCGTACGCCACACGCCATTGTAGATGGGGCGAAAACACACTGGCGTGCTTTGTTTGCCCCTATTGTTATAATTTTTTATGAAGTTTTATTGTACATTATGTCGGTTGACAGTGGGGAGTGATTTGCTATGGAGTTTTCGAGTATGGGGATGAACGGAACTATTCGCTTTTTACGTGTTCTAAGCTCATAAAGTAGAGTGAAAGCTGTGTTTCTAGTATTACATTGTGTTTAAGTATTATTGAGAAATCAGTATTAGGATACAGTGCTACCTTTATAGTTTTTTACTAACAAATTTAAAAATAATACTGATCAAAGACCATTAAAAAAGGGTCACAAGTGCAATGACATAAAGAAAACTGCCTATTTATCATCATATCTACATCAAATATATATTGTTAGTTATGCTTCTGATAGTCACTAGTTATGAGATTAAAGATTTACTAAGATTAGATATGCAGATGAGACAATCATTGCACAAAATCTTAGTGACCAATACAATAATACCAATTACTTGACCAATAAAAAATACAAGCCAAAATTGTAAAAGGAGGAACATGGTCTAATTTAAATGTGGTGGTATCTAAGATACTTTCAGGGCCGATTCTAGGAAGTTGGGCTTCTGCGTACAAAATGCTAATGTGCCGCCTTCTCTAGAGATGTTTTATATTTTTAATAATATTCAACGATGACATAAACTTAAGTTCATGCAGGCTTTTATAAGGTTATCATTATAAATGTTATGAAACTCAAATAGAAAGCAAGAATATTAAGCAGCACTCAGATAATAGGGCAAATCTTTCATTTACCGAGGAGATAGCGTGTTCAAGAATTGCAAAATAGAAAGCAGTCTTGAACTGTTGGTCTGGATTGGAAACTGACTCAGTACTGACGAAAAAACGGACCTTTTTCCTAAGCTAGTAGATATGAAATTCAGGATTTCGAGTGCTATATTACTCCTGTGACTGGAAAAATCCTAGAAAAACTTCTAAAATATATACCTTACCGTCAATAGTGTTCACATACCTAATTACAAACGTTATTTGTTCTGTGTGATTAATGTTTGATGTAGAGTCAAGAATTATAGCATATTTGGCTTTATATTTGACATTAATATTTGAGGTTAATAATAGTTTCGGATAAAATATTGATTATGTCATTTTGAAAATACTGCCAAGTAGTGTGGAATACGGTTTTTGTTATCTTTACATTTACTTACATTATTAAGGAGTTCTAAAATAACTGGATCAAATTTGCTTTGCTTATTCATGGCGCCAAATAGCTTTTTTTGTGGGTTGTAAAACATCTTGTTAATCTGTGTCAATATTACAATTGTTTCATCCTAATCTTTAATTAAATTACGCTCTAATATAATTTAAGTGTTTTATTTAGTACGAAAATAAGTACTTAGTGAGTTAGCCTAAACAATGATACTAATCAGAAAAGACGATGCGTATGCATGTTTCATTGATTTCCAGAACGCATTTGATAAAGTCCCATATGGAAAACCAATCGATATCCTAAAAACATTAGGACTAGATGGTAAGGATATAAGACTGATCTCAAACTTATATCTCCAACAAAAATCAACAGTACGATTAGAAAATAAACTGTCCGAGATCGTCACAGTCGAAGAAGGAGTTAGATAGGGTTACATATTGTTACATATTGTCACCAATGTCACCAAAGATGCCAAGAAATTGAAGAGTTGGAACAAAGACATGATACTTTCAATCTACATAAAAAAGTAAAAGAAGCCGCTGGAATATTTAAACAAACTCCTACGTCTTTCATCGAAGATAAACATGGGAACCCGCTACTGAAGTTCAAATAGGTAGATGGAGAGAATACGTGGAAGAGATTTTTCAAGACCGAGAGAGGACGAACATTTACATGCAGGAGGCATCGACTGGACCTTATATCACAAAGCAAGAAATTATCAAAGCGGCAAATCAGTTAAAGAACGGAAAAGCTGTTGGGGAAGATAATACCCCAATTGAAATAATAAAGATATTACTAGACGAACACATCGAAGTAATGGAAGATATATTTAACAAAATATACGAAACAGGCAAAATACCAAATGATTGGCTGACATCGGTGTTTATACCACTACCAAAGAAGAGAAACTCCAAGAAATGTGAAGACCATAGGATTATTAGCCTGATGAATCATATGTTGAAGCTTTTCCTACGAGTAATACACAATAAAGTATACCATAAACTAGACGAACACACTAGTAAAACTCAGTTTGGTTTTAAGAATAGGTTCGGAACAAGAGAAGCACTTTTTTCAATACGTGTGCTAGTTGAAAGATGTCGATTCTGATGTAGACTTGTGTTTTATAGACTTTCAGAAAGCGTTTGACCTGGCGAAACATGATAAACTAATAAATATTTTAAGGTCATGTAATATCGACGATAAAGACTTAAGGATCATTTCAAACCTCTACCAAGAACAAAAGGCTAAAATCAGAATAAAAAGCGAAACATCTGGAAAAATCAATATCGAGAAGGGAGTAAGATAGGGATGTGTCCTATCACCTTTGCTGTTCAATGTTTACTCTGAGAAGATATGCTGATGACACTGTCATACTGGCAGATAACGCTGAAGCCCTGCAACGCTTAATGGACCGAGTAACGACAGCCTGTAGAGAATTTGGAATGAAATTGAATACAAAGAAGACAAAAACGATGGTCATCAGCAAGCACCAAAACAGAAGGGTGAAGGTCAATGTCGACGGAACAGATCTGGAAAGAGTAACAAGAACAACGTACCTTGGAAGTAATCTTGATGAAACTTGGGACCACTCACTAGAGATAAAAATACGCCTGGAAAAGGCACGTACAATGTTTTGCAAAATGCAAAAAGTTCTATGCAACCGCCAGCTGGGCATCTCATTGAGAACTAGAATACTTAAGTGCTATGTTTTCTCCACCTTGCTCTATGGTGTTGAAGCCTGGACAATGACAGAAGCAACACAAAAAATAATCCAAGCATGTGAACTCTGGAGTTACCTTAAAATGCTCAGAATATCATATCAGCTTATATAGATGAAACTGGCAACAGATGTATGTTTTCAAAAACTTAATAATGTGTAAATTTTTTATTAAAACCGACTAGTAGTAGCAGTATGTAGTTGCAGCATGCCATCTTCAGAGTTTCGTCTTATAGGAAGTTATAAATATACCGGTATTTAGGCGGTACGCCCTTTCGGTAGGGATCTATGGAGGAATATCACTGAGCCGCAAGCCCTTATCTCTTGCCGTACTGCTCCACCATAGGCCGATCAGACACCAGCATATTCTGGCCTAAGTCACAGATTCATCTAGAATTTTAAACTGCTGCGTTAGCCTTTTTGTTTTCTGTACACCGAGCTGGGGATCGAACTCACATCCACTGAATCACTCGCAGTGAAGCGAATGAGAAACCGGCCGCCCAGCCCGCTTGGCTACCTGACCGACTAGGAAGTTATAAATACCTCATGAAAATGTAATTATCAACACAAAACACATTAAAAAGCAAGCCTTTGTTATAGCGATTAAACACTTTTAATATTTAAAAAACGGCATTTGGAGTGCTTATTGGACCAATGGCTGCCTGCTTAAGACTGTTTTAAGCACTTTACTAAAAACTTCATTATTTTCTTTAAAGTTGTTGACAGTGTCAACAATAACTAATGAAGATCATTTCCACCCAAAGAGGAGTTATTTTATTGAAGATATAAGATACATCATGTACACCTTTACTTAAGAATTCTACTTGTTATTGTTTTGTCACACCTGTAGGAAATAAGATATCATATTGTTAAAACAATAATAATTTTAAAAATTTTAATAAACTTTTTATTAAAATAGCAATAATTTCATCGATTTTAAAACTCGCTAAATATGTTACCTTTTGTGAGAACAGTGTCAAAATTTTACCACCGCTACCGCTTCGCTTCCTGTACATTTTGCGTAATTTAATATTTCCTATAGTCCGGCATTTGGCGTTCTTCAATGTGCTATTTCTCATCAATCCAAAACAAATAATAGTCAATCCAAAATTGTGTAACTCAAAACCGTTCTTTAAACAGGCCAGTTACCCACGACTTACAGAAAATAGCCAACAGGTCCAAACAAAAACAAATAAAACCATTAGCTCGTATTGTATTTGAAGGTATAAACTTATATACAAAATGAACACATTGTTTCATTAAACGCAAATAATTATATTAACATTTTAATACAAACTTAACAAAAACAACAAAAAAAAATACGCTAAACTTAAACTATAAGAGTTATGTAGCGCATGAATTTAAAGAAAGTTTATTCAGCGTTTGAAAAAATTGAATGATTTTTAAAACGCTTTACACGTGCTACATAATATCTAGAGTTGCCTTTATTTATCGTACTGTTAAAATCCATACGCTAAATAAATAAAATAAAACCTAGACTTGCCTATATTACAAAAGAAATAGACAAAATTTATATAAAATGCCTGTTAGAGTATGAATATTTCTAGAAAGTATTTAAACAAATATTTTTGAATATATATGTAAAATAATATTCTGTTTTTTATCTGCCTTATGTTAAAAATCTATCAATTCAAAAGTTTTTAAAAAGGCAAAAAAAAAATAAAAAAATTCCGATTCAAGTTCTTATTCTTCTTTCTTGTGTGTAGGCTTTAAAGCCTTTTTCTTCTTTAATATTAGCCTCCTAAATTGTTTAAATGGTCGCACCATCCTATGGTGGTCGTACTATCCTATCCTCTGTCATTCTACTAATATGTTCGTTCCACTCCTATTTCCGTTTTGTCACCCATCCATTTATGTCTTCTATATTGCATGCTCTTCTTATGTTTTCGCTTCTCTCCCTAACCAACAGACTTTTCCCTGATATTCGTTGAAGTATTTTCATCTCTGTTGCTTCTAGAAGTCAATATTATGTTAATATAAGTCTAATTTGCAGGTGTGAGAAATTTACAAGACAGATCAAAACTAAAAACTGGGCTTGGAAGACAAACGATATCGTGGATTTGATGGAACAATGGCGACTAGCGAAAAAGAACGAAACACTTTACAACAGCATACAAAAAGAAATTCGACGTAAAATACGAGAAGCAGAATCAACATCTAGCCAAACAGTGTCATGAGATTGAAGAACTTGAAAAAAGATACGACACGTTTAACATGTATAAAAAAGTGAAAGAAGTGGCTGGTATCTTCAATAAGAAACAAACTGCATTGCTACAGGATGAAAATGGTAAAGTACTATTTGAAGTAGAGGACAAACTTAAAGAATGGGAAAATTACGTCACGAACCTATTCGAAGACGATAGGAGAAGTTCACTACCCGATATTAGTAACTGCGACGGACCCCTAATGACACGTTCTGAGGTTACAAAAGCCATACAATCATCAAAAGATGACAGAGCGACTGGTCCTGATTGGTCCTGATAAAATTTCAACTGAAATATAATAATATAATAATAACGGATTGATTACGGCTGTCGCCGCTTCTCCGCCTCCAATTTCCATCTTTTTCTGTCATACGCAGTTGACTCTTCTAAGTCTCTTGCCGCCATTGCTTCATCAATATCGTTGCGCCAACTTCTCCGTGGTCGTCCTCTCTTTCTTCTTTCAGGAGGGATCCATTCCAGTACTCTTTTAGGCCATCTGTACTCTGACATTCTTTTAACATGTCCGAACCAGATTAATTGTTTTCTTTCTATGTTATCATTGATATTTCGCTCAATTTTCATTGCGTTTCTTATTTGTTCGTTCCCAACTCTTTCTAGTTTTGATCTACCGCAGCTTCGTCTCAGATAAGCCATTTCTATCGTCATAAGTTTGTTTTTATTAGCTTTGGTGACGTCCCATACTTCCGAACAGTAAAGTGTAATACTTTGGACTATACGACCGTAAATGTGTTTTTGGTTTCTCGTCGAATTGTTTTTTGCCAGAGAAGAGAGTTTAAGGCACGGGTCGCTGCTCTACCCTTGTTTATTCTTTCCCTGATTTCATCTGCGCTATTTCCCTTCTTATTGAAAATATTTGCAGGATTGTACGCCTTTGATTTTGTCGTGTTCCAAGACTAGGTCACATATTTCATCTGATCCCGCTGATAGATATTTACATTTTGTCATATTCATGTTTAGACCTGCCACATCATATTCTTCTTGCAGTTTTCTTACCATATAGCTAAGATCGTAGCTATCTTCGGCAATTACTACCTGGTCATCCGCAAAGAAAAGTGTATATAGCGTGTTTTCTTCCACCGTTATTCCCATGTTTCTACATTTTTTTACCCATTCCACTAAGGATCTGTCCAAATAGATTTTAAATAAGGTGGGTGACAGACAGCAGCCTTGTCTTAGTCCATTTGTTGTTTGAAAAGGAGAGGTGATTTCTTGTCCCATTTTAATTCTTGCAAAGTTTTGTTCGTAGTATTTTTGAGTGGCGTTAATAAGAATTGGGTTTATTTTCAAGTTATCCATTTCTATCCATAGTTGGGAGATCGGTACACTATCATATGCTTTTTCCAGGTCTATTAAAGCTATATGGGTTTCTCTATTTCTCTGCACTTGTTTTTCCATTGCAATTTTTAATGTGAAAATATTATCCATAGTGGAGCGTCCGGCCCTAAATCCCGCTTGTTCTTCGGGTTGTTTATCTTTAATATCATTTTCTATCAGGTTTCTCAGTACTTTTGAATATAATTGGCCTATAGTAGCAATCACTGCAATCCCTCTATAGTTTTTAGGATCCGTTGTTGAACCAACTGAAATATACAAGCTTATAAATGATAGCAATGTTTTAGAGGCTATAACTCAGTTTTTCAATACCATTTATACCAGCGGACAACTACCTAATGGTTGTTCTAATTCACTGTTTATAGCTCTACCTAAGAAGAAAACAGCAAAAACCTGTGCAGATTATAGAACCATCAGTTTGTTAAACCACTTATTGAAAATTTTTCTGAAGGTAATACATGGTCGTATCTACAATAAATGCAAGGAATACCTGGATGACACTCAGTTTCTTTTCGTGATATATCTGTAGACATATACTGTTGTTTTATTGACTTCCAAAAGGCATTTGATCGTGTTAAGCACTCTATATTGATCGAAGCTCTAAAAGACATTGGCTTAGACGGCAGAGATGTTCAAATAATTGCAAATTTATATTGGAATCAAAAACATCAGTTTTAGTAAATGGTGTGGAATCACAGGCTCTCAATATTAAAAGAGGAGTACGGCTGGTATGCCTCTTGTCACCCCTGCTTTTTAACGTTTACTCCGAAAGAATTTTCAGAAAAGCACTTTCTGAAAAAAAAAAGGAATACTTGTGAACGGCGCAGTCATCAATAATTTGCGATACGCGGACCATACAGTACATACAACAGCATATAAAACCGTCTATATGTGTAAATAATACCAAACTTGAGCAAGTTGATAAAATCGTTTACCTTGGACAGCAATTAAATAATAACGCAGAAAGTCACGGCGAAATAAGATCTAGGATAGAGCAGCCTAGAACTGCTTTTAGAAGGACGTCCAAGGTGTTATGTAACAGAGACCTAAAATTGGCA